ATATGTCACAGAGATAGGTATTAGGGAATATGTCACAGAGATAGGTGTTAGGGAGTATGTCACAGAGATAGGTGTTAGGGAATATGTCACAGAGATAGGTGTTAGGGAATATGTCACAGAGATAGGTGTTAGGGAACCTGTCAGTAAAGACTGGTGTCAGAGAATATGTCAACAGAGAGGCTATTTTGATGAAATGTTTCAAAAGAGACTGTTGTCAGGGATTATGTTAACAGGGAGACTGTTGTGAGAAAATGTTTCAACAATGTTTCAGGCAATAAGGTATATCCATATTTTTTGTGCATATCTAATTTTTGCAAATTTAGTGACACTCTCAAAATCACACAGAATCAAAATCACAAAATTGCATGTTTCTTTGTATTGTGAACACATGTATTATGCATCTATAGAACTGACGTACCTAAATTTTCTAGTTGTGAATACTTCTAAAATAAATAAATACTAGTCAGTATGTAAATCTCTAATCTTTGTATGACGGGTCAGTTAGATCACCAATTGATGTCAGAATCTACACTGGTATATATGTAAGCTATGTCCATTCTCAAGTCTTCAAAGGAGGCCTTTCAAATTTCCGAAACTATGAAATCCCCCAAAAAATTGCAAAACTTTCATTTTAGGGATTTTTAGTAACAAATTGCAAAACATCCCAACATATGGTATATCAACAGAAATTGGTATAGTGGAATATGTAAGAGATTAGTGTTAGGCAATATGTAAACACAGACAGGCGAAGGACAATATTTCCATAGATACAGGCATCAAGGAATATGTCAACAGGCTGGTGTTATGGTGTATGTTGAAGAGAAACCCTGGTATCAGGGAATATGTCAAACAGAAAGCCATGTGTCAGGGAAAATGTCAAACAGAAAGCCTAGTGTCAGGGAATATGTCAAACAGAAAGCCTAGTGTCAGTGAATATGTCAAACAGAAAGCCTTGTGTCAGGGAATATGTCAAACAGAAAGCCTTGTGTCAGGGAATATGTCAAACAGAAAGCCTAGTGTCAGGGAATATGTCAAACAGAAAGCCTAGTGTCAGGGAATATGTCAAACAGAAAGCCTTGTGTCAGGGAATATGTCAAACAGAAAGCCTTGTGTCAGGGAATATGTCAAACAGAAAGCCTTGTGTCAGGGAATATGTCAAACAGAAAGCCTAGTGTCAGGGAATATGTCAAACAGAAAGCCTAGTGTCATGGAATATGTCAAATAGAAAGCCTGGTGTCAGAAAATATGTCAAACAGAAAGTCTAATGTCAGAGAATACGTCAAACAGAAAGCCTGGTGTCAGGGAATATGTCAAACAGAAAGCCTAGTGTCAGGGAATATGTCAAACAGAAAGCCTGGTGTCAGAAGATATGTCAAACAGAAAGTCTAATGTCAGAGAATATGTCAACAGAGAATGGTGAACATCTGGGCCAATGTAAAGTGATATTTGTGGATTGATGATTATAATTACACATCTGTAATACACTGATGCAGGGTCAGAGGTATACAATTACTTATGCCTATACTTACATTTACAAAACAAAGTAGCACCAACAAGGAGGTCTTTCAGGAAGTATTCAAAAATAAAATTATGCAACTTAACCCTAACATTACCAGGATGAATTACCTATTCAATTATGGTTCTTATTTCATATACCTTGGAATATCTAACACAGCAGGCCATGCACATGTTGCTTGTTTTTTGTTTTATTTTTTTTTCTCTCTGTTACTACAATGATGAATTGCTTAACATTTTTTTCACAATTTTCATCTTATTAATTGAGAAAAACTCAACTTCAAACAAAAATGTCCTTGGTGCTATTCACTGTTTACTTTTTCTTTCAGTACTCAAAAATCATGTTACAGTGAATATGTATATACGATAAAAGGACACATCTATATGAAAATCTGTCCATACAGATCACATATTTCTGGTCTCAATGCTTCCTGGAGTGGTCTTTATAGACAGGTTAAGCTGTGTATAAATGATGTACAAAACAAAATTTCAAACAGAATGTAACATATTATTTTGAATTTGAACAGGTTTCTGTACATCTAAAGCTAGTGTTTATCTTTTAGAATAACAGAGAATCATTACTTAGATAAAATGGCACAACATCGCTTGCAATATCTCTTAATATACAGGAAATTGCACTATGCTGGGAATAGATGTGACATCAATGAACTAAAAAATTTACATTTAAATGGAATTGGAGTTTTTAAAGCAAAACATGCAACAATATAGTGAAAAGGTAACAAACAGTTTGATATAAAGCTAATTTACATCCAAGGTTTATTTATTGTACAGTAAACAATTGTCATAACTACTGGGAATCACATTGTGTAGGGACGGATAATTTGTTCTTCCAGCAAAATCTTTGATCTCAATGACATTTGATAAAACAATCTGCATTCTAAGTGAAAAATGCCACCTTGCTAAATTTACTTAAAACCTCTATGTAAACATAACAAATATTGCCTTTCAACTGGATTAAATTAATTCTCATTTTAAAATTTCTATATACATGAGTCATTCTGTTCAAAAAGAGTTATCATTGTAAAAGATAATATTGATAACATGAGTATTCACTACCGGCTTTGACACCGACAAAAAACACCAGTGAAGAATGTAGAGTTAACTTTGAACACAATCTAGATCAATGTGATCAGAAAAGCACTACCATGCATTCTAATTCAGAACTTACCTTAATGATTTATTCAATGACAAAACCACTAACAACAGTAACACTATGACAGCAGTATCACAACCTGAAGATTCTACCTGTCACTTCAATATATCTCTGTTTTTGCTCGGTGTATGTTAACTGTGAGGCCCTTCTCTCACACAAAATTCTGGGAACACTGTTTGAATTCTCAAAATATGACAAACTAAGAATACTTCAAGCCATCCATTTTTCCCTATCTGTGAGTAAACTTTGGCATGAAATGGTCTCAAGCAAAAATAATTTGTACATATATAAGAATATGATGCCATTTTAGCACCCAACATCTGCCATTCCAAGAGATACTAACATATGAAGTAATTTAAGTGACAAAATTATATAAAATGTAGTGCAGACAAAGGAGAACAAAGGGCAACAACTTTGAATATAACAGGGTCAAGCTTTATACACTTTAAAATGTTAGTAAGTATGAATGTACTTACATGAAATAATCAGAAATTTTCTGTGATGCACTGTTATATACCCTTGACAAAATAACATGTTAAAAGGACATAATTCTAATGGAAGGGTAGGACTACAAGGCCATAATTTAGAGTACGGCACTCTTCTATCCAACCTGATACTAAAATAGAAAATTTGGCAAAGTTTAGGAGAAAACTACATGTGTGAGGAATTATGCTCCAGCCTTTTTTAGAAAGCATTGTTTGGAATTTTGAATGGTGACATATTAGCATTCCTACCAAAGAAAGTCCTCAGGAAAGAGAAGTCCTGAAAGGTGTTGTACACATAAACAAATCAATCTGGCAGTGGAAAACCATTTTTGAGGGCTAGGGGTGGGGGCAGGGACATTCTTGATATTTCAAATCCAGTGGTTTTTTGTTCGCTATCACTATCTACATCTCTGGAACATTTCATGGCAAAATTGTTGGCACCAGTTAAGTAATCAGATTGGTTTAGACCGAGAAAGAGAAATGACCAATTACAGACTGAAAAACTCCTTTGAAAATTACAAAGGAGTGACACCCAACTTCAAAGCCAGTACAACATACTGTTATGTGATCTTGAGATTCATTTGATGAACATCAAAGGATCAAAATAGTCTTCTCATCTTACCCACTAGGTGTCCCAAATGGAACCTTCGATTTTGCCATGAAATGTTCCAAGGGTACAGAGAGAGAGAAAGTGATGGTAACCCCTGGAGTATCAAGATGGAGAGGGGGCAAGTTTTAATGATACATATTATCAGTCATTTGCTCAATATTTTAAAAACCACACAGTAAATGAGACAAAATACATTTGATTTAAAAGTAACACATTGTATCAAACATGATCAATTACACATAAATGTCATTTTTTTTAAACATTTAAAATACAATTTCCTCTGTAACAATAGACTATAGAAGTTTATTACACAAAACTTTAAATCATCAAAATGACAGTTAATTTTATATCTACAAGAAAGGACATACAGTAAGTCACAGAGAAACAAAAATCTATCCATGTTATCATGACAGTTGTATTACACAGTGGAATGCGAATTTTAAGACAAATCATTTTCATTTGATCAGGGTCATTTCACTACAGGGAAGACCATTATATATAGACAAAAATATACATCAAGTTGTTCATGGGCATCATTCATTCATCCTAAAATGTTTCTTAAATAGGGCCCTTTTTAGATAAAATAGGAACCCTTCTGTATACTGTATATTGAATAGAATACCAGATAGTAACTGGAGACCTTTTCAATTTCTATTCTTCATAATGTTACAGGCTAGTTATGACTTAAACTTATATACTTTATCTTACTTCCTTCATTTCCTGATACAGAAGATAAAATTACTTAAAAATCTATCTATAAACTACATAAAGCTAGAGTTATTTTTACTGTGGAGGTTTTGTATAAACAATGATTTCTGAAAAACGTTGTGAGAAGACGTGTTCAAAGCTAGTGTACTAAAGATACTAATTAGTACATGTTCTGTATGCTCAAACTGACCAGAAGTACATACAAGGTTTAAATTATATTGAGCTTTGTTTTTGCTACCTTTCATTCAGGATATGGTAGATAAAACACTATGTAAAGCCAGATCATTACCAGGTAGAACAGTAGGATATTCAGTAGGTCAGCAAAAGAAATATATTGGTAACAACCTGTTACATGTATGTGAATAGGAATCACACATAGAAATCAATTGCTTCTCCAGATCAACAAGATTTTCAAGCTGTCCATAGTATTATGCTTTAAATACATTCAAACAGAAACAATTAAAAGGACTGCAAACCTTCATAACTATAAAGGCGACAGAGTGACTGACTAGAGCTCTACATCATGTTGTTGAAGATCAATGGTGTCCATCTCTATCAGATCTTGACTGTCCTCTACCAGATGGTTATTGCCATTAGGAAGAGTTCTACCATTCTTTGGGAGGTACTTGCCATTCTGAATGGTATTGTGGTTAGGTTCTATTTGTTTATCAGGAAAATGGGTCTCCCTGCTAAATATACTGGTCTCTTCCTGGTCATCAATATCTAACAAACCTGTGAAGTACGCAAAAGATATATGTATATATAATACATACCACATGGCCTACATATGGCAGAATTTATCTATAAAATATATTTAAAAAAAAAAATTAAAAGCAAAAAAAATTTTCAACAAAGAAAATCACACAAATGAATTATGACATAACAGTTAAAGTTCTCTACAAAATTCATAAATTGTATATTCATTGAAATACACAGAAGTTAAGCCTAAAAAAAATATTAAACAACGAGAAACTATACCTAGTAATTGTCTTACAAATATATTACAGAACAAGTGCCATATGATGAATTTCTTTTTAATTCAGACGGTCATGGATACTATTTCTCAAATACTGTATAACCTTACACCTACACAACGTAATTTGTATGATATTTCAATGATTTAATTTGTGCAATACCAATTATTTGCGATCCTTTGATAGATAACAAAACACACTAGGGGATTGCTTGGAATGATTTTAACACAATATATAATATTATATATATAACAAGACAAAAGTGCAGTAACAATTACACCTGTCTCCATGCTCTATGACACTGTATCATCACTGGTTTCATGGTCAATTGGCTATTATTTAATGCTACTGTTATACATGTTGATGAACATAAATCTATGTCTGACGATATCCTTTGTGATTGCAGAGTCTGCATTCAGAATTTGTCGTAAATAATGCTAAAATTTGATGCATGTTAATAAACCTTGTTATGTAGTTTATCATCATTTCAACTTATAAGACTAAAAGTAATTTTATAAACAGAACTGCATCTTGTGACATGACATGACTGACAGTATCTATGACTCACCTGTTATCTCCAGATCATATGTAGATATGGTACTTTCTGTTTTGATGAGATAAAGGATGGATCTGCTTGGCCAGAGTAGATGGATCATCACCAATACACACAGCAGATCAGATCCCAGTGTTATCGCTGCAAAATAAAATAAGCACCATAGATATTATTCACTGAGAATGTTAAGTATTTTAAACATAAAAACTTTTTTCCCCTAAATCACTTCATAGGTGGTGATAATGAATTGTAGGATGAAAATGAATTTTGCTGTTAAAAGATATATAATCCAATTACACATTTTCCAACAGTCTTACACCAAATACAAAGATATTTTTTTATCTCTAGATAGTTAAACATGTTTGTTTCTGTTTTAGTAATGATTTATCCTTACTCATACAAAGGAAAACTTACTAAGAATGGTTTTATGCTTCCATAACGCTGATATCTGAGTACCAATGATTGCTAGAACTGGCAAGTATATAAACCAAACTAGAAAAAAGGCCCCAAACTGTTGAAGGAAATTTAGTCTGTCTGGATGTTTGCTATGGAATACTGTTCGTCTTAGCTCCACAACAAACCATATCATAATGACTACACGTAAACCAAGAGTAATGTAGCCTGGCCAAGTCTGCCATTCATCTATGTTGGAGATTTCATCAACCTCAGTCTGGAATATATCACAAACAAGATCAATCACACAACAATCATGACTATTGATAAAGTCGATGTGTCTTTAATATTGTCAATACAAATAACATGTATCGTCACTTCTGATAAACAGTTAGTAAATCAAATACAAAATCTATGCTTAGAGTTTAAATATTGCTTTCTTTTATAATTACTGGTATTTTAATTTTGAGAAAATGAAATGAGAGTTACCTTAAACCTAGAAACTCAATGATCTTTTAAAGAAAAAGATATTAAACTTACCAGGTTCCAGAAATACAGGACAAAGTTTGAGAGGGCGTATACACCCCAAACAGAAAAGACAACAGCACGCCCTTTAATATCCATGTGTGTTATTGTCCAGCCACGGGCAACTAGCAGGAGAAAAAGCATGAATATGCACTGGGATATTGTGTCCACAGCATTTCCTACTATTTCCAAAGGGAAGAACCCAACTCCATTAAATGAAAATATCAACAAGTGTAATAAATTCAGTGCTATACCGGTCACTTCCAAAGCTATCACAGACGTAAATAGTTGTGTTATTGGATGCTTCTGTTTTATAAATGCGTAAATCCAGATAGGAAGTATCACAATATAAAATATTAAAAACACTAAATAAATTTCAAAAATATCATGGTCATCAAAAGAAAATTGGTGCTCAAATGGATTAAAATGTTTAGAGGCTGGGTTTCCATTGACCAGCCAGATGTCATAGTCCAGATCAAATGGTTTGTCATTATTCCTCTCCCATACACAGTTGTTACGCTGACAGGCAACTAGACTTACATACCAGAACCTGGAAAATGATCAATCAATATTATAACTTAATTTGATAACATAAAATATTTATAGAGCTTTTGGAATGCTTAAGTTTTCTTTTCTGGTTTTTTTTGGCAACACATCTTCCATTTTTTTCTTTAACATATTATTCAGAGTTCATGCAGGCAATATGACTATCAAATTACTTAAATACTTGGATTACATTCCAATTATTCTGAGACATAAATAGCTATCTTTTTTCCTATATATATGTCTCGGTTCCAATAACTGATGCTTACATATAAATTTGTCTTTTGAAACAAAGAGACAAATTATATTAACTCTCCGCTTCTTCCTATTCTCAACCCGCCTTTTTTGTTGTTTATCAAATCACGACAATCGCAAATTGGATATTATTATTACAATTCTTACAGTACATGCATAGTCGGTGCGAAGTTTGTTATTTGTTAGATTACCTTGGAGACCTAAAATCTTCTACTTTGTATGTGAACTGATATCCTGGTATGACGTTAGCTGGGTTGTCTTCGTCATAGCATAGCTTTCCTTTAATACACGGCACCTTTCTCAGAAAATCTTCCAATCCATGTTTCTTACACTCGAAGTCAAACGCAATGGTATCAATTTTGTCGAACATACGCGCGCAGGTGTATTTATGCAGCTTACGAGTACTGTTTCCATGGTATTCCATGAAGTATTCACTATCTACCACAACTAAAGTTGCGAATGTAGAAGCATTACTTCTGGAAGTGATGTTTCCATAAATAAATCCTTCTGTATCCAGCAAGTCTTTCGTGTTCGTTTTCTGAATGGCAAATTTAGCGAGATATTTGTAGAAACTGCCCGTGTTCCATGTCCCCTTGAGATGTAATGCCGACAGCTTGTGATTAGTAATTAAACTAAATAAAATAAAAACCAATGTAAATATTCTGAATGGATAAGTTTTCATAGTGAAAGAGTACTTGATTGTTTTATGGCTTTCCGAGTTAGTATTTCCATTCGATCACCTCCATCTTGGATTCTTACAACTTCCTGCTTGAATATTAAACTTCCGGTAAGATAACACTGCGCTTTCCAACTAGCCGTAATGCTAATGTGGCTGCAAAAAGGACTGTAACGTAGCCAGCAACGTAACCGTCAAACCAACAACATAAAAAATTGTTATCAAAGTGGAATACACGAATAGCAAATATAGTATCTGATATCTTTTGCTACTCACTTTTTTGAAAAAGTTCCTGTGACATCGTTCATTGTGAACATTTGATAAGTATTTTTTCTATAACTTATCAATTTTTGATGATTAAATTGGCCAAGTGACAATATAAAAGTGAGAAAAAAATGAAAAAGCAACACTTGATTTGATATATAGGCAATACAACGAGAAAATCTTTTGCCAGCAACATAATTCCAAATCATTTGGAAGACTTTCTTTTTATTCCTGGTAACAGTACACGTTCCTTGTCATATGGAAATATCACTTAGTTTACTGAAGTCTGGTAGTGGGTTATAGGATTCCAATTCCCAAATGTCCTCAACAACTGTGTTGGTATAAAAAATATTTCTGAAATACCATGACCTTCATTAAATGTATTTGGTGTACTAAATCGGTCGTGAGTGGTGAATCCTGTTGCATCTTGCAAACCAAGTTAAGAAATAACGCTAGTGCTCTTAAATGTGATCTATGTTGAGTAAATATATCTACTAATGAACGTTGTACATGTGGTTCTCCTGTTGTAGATACCTATCATGTCTTTTTATCTGTGATAGTTATATTGACCAACGAATAAAGTTGTGTTTCGTCAACTTATTCAATACATACCTTTAAACTTAAATTTACTCCTGTTCGAGGACACTTCTCTTTCTGAACAAGAAAACCAAACCATATGTTTGCCTACTCATTAATATATCTATGAAACAAACAGATTCTAGCAAGCATATTTCTGAATTTCTCTATCCCGCTCTTCCTCACTCTTCTGAACTCATTTATTTTATTATTGATATTTGTGAATGATATCACTGATATTTTTATTAATGAAATGTTATATTAACGTCTAGAATTAATATAAAATTTATATTGGAAAGCATTTGTATATGTGTTCCATGTACCTGCTCCTTCTCTGTAAGCGAACGGATATTCAAGAAAGCAACTAGTGACAAAGAGAGAGTAAACAAAGCATGGGAGTGATAGACATTGACAAGTTGTGAGTTTAGGCCTTTGGACAGTGTATCACCTGTTTCGCTTGCATGGAGAAGGAGCAGATGCATGATCTACATATTTAAAAAGTATATTGCTCTTATTATACACCCCTAACCCCCCCCCCCCCCCCCCCCCACTCTCTCTCTCTCTCTCTCTCTCTCTCTCTCTCTCTCTCTCTCTCTCTCTCTCTCTCTCTCTCTCTCTCTCTCTCTCTCTCAAGTTGTTTATGATTGTTCCATTGCTATTACATCCTACTGCCACCTTGTAAATATAATGTGTGTGTACTAATATCTTTGGAAAGGGCTTTATATAAGTTGTAAAACTTGTGCCCGATCTTATTGCTACTTATGTGTAATAAAATATGTTTAAATCAAATAAAAAATTCCACCCTGTTTAGTGGTCAACATGGAAACCTTTCGTGTAACCCGGTTGACCCTGTTAAGGCGGCCTAGAGTTCTATATTATATTTCTCGATAAACGATTGCATTTGTACGGGATGTTGGAACCGATATATGCAAAGATCAAAATGCAAAGTTTTTTCTTCAATTGTCTGTCAAACATAAAGATAAACCAAAGATACAATATCATTCATTTTAACTCTCACTTCTCAACTCTTACTAAAAAAATTTCCGGGAACATCGACCCCTGTTTCCCGCTGTAAATTACAACTAACGATATTCAGCAAGTTTATTAGGACAGGGAGGACTGGACCTCTAGTTTTTTTCTCAATGCATTCCTTTTGTATCGAGTTTTATCTGACAAAGTCTATTATTTATAAGTTTAAAAATTATTAAGTCAATTTCGCATGCAAGGACACAATCTTAACATAGAATCTGGGCGCTATAATAACATCCCAAGACGGCAGAGAGTATGTATACTGTGTGATAAAAATGACGTCGAAGACTTTGTACTACTTTGTCTAGCATATTCTGATTTAAGAAAAATGTACATTAAAAAATACTATCATAGACGTCCAAGTGTTTATATACTAATAGAAGTATTGACCTGTAAAAGTGTTAAATTTTTAAACAGACTGGGTAAATATTTGTTGTACGCTTCTGCTGAAAGAAAAAAATCTCCTGAGTAAGCATAATTTTGGAATATCATTTGAAAGTATAAATGTATAACAGTTATTTGATATCTGTCAATAACTCGTTAAGTAGTACTATTGATTTGCCTCGGTGCTTTAAGTGTATTGTTTCTATGTTGTTGTCATTATTTCATGACGTCACATATATACATGTAGTAACGTCATACTTACAGTATTTCATCACGTGACAGACCCGTACTACATATATTAGATATATATATATCTAGTATATGTGTGTGTATTTGAGTGATTTTTCCTCCGCCATCTTCCACCTTACGTATATGAATTGTGATAATTTAATTACGTATACAATGCCATTGTACCTATAAGCCGTATTGCATTTGAAACGAAGTATTCAGTATCTAACATGTTAACTGGATAACCTAGACTAATCCCTGCATATGTTGACATTCACCTGGGTGGACACCTGAACACAGGTAAGTTTCCCAGGTTTCAAGGTTTTAATCACTCCGACACACTTACGTGTGTAACAAGATATCACAAATCATCATGCATTCTGAATGGATGAGTCGCAAGGCTGAAGATGATAGAGAATATTATTGAATAGTGTGTAAGAGCGTGCATCGGCTAGTGTGCAAGAATGATGGCATGTATGAAAGACTATCATTCAAGACTATTCAACATTGTACGTACCACATGACTGAACTTATAAGCCGCAAGACTTTCAGATGAAGGAAACTTATAACAAAAGGAGCAGACTTAATCTGAGGAAGTATTCTTTCTGTGAACGGGTAGTTAACCACTGGAATTCACTTCCTAATGCCGGAGTAACGTCACCAACAATCCAAACTTCCGAATCCCGATTGGATAAACATTGGGGGGCAAACTGAATGTATTTATAATCATGAACTGGACAATAACACACTGATCCATATCCGGGATACTAATTCTTTGTAATTCTGATCTGGATATACAGGCTCAATAAGCCTGCGTCCAGTATATATTATTATTATTGAGTAGACACCAGTAGAAAAGCTAAGAAGAATGGACTTCACGGCTCAGTGGACAACTACAAAAGCTAACACCAGAGAAGTTACCATTCGATCTAGCTTCTCTTCTTCAATCTTATAAATGCCGATTTCAGAGATCCTGCTAGGTAAGTAATAAGTAACCTTGCTATGTTAATAAAATTTGTATGGCCAGGGACGTATGTCTGTCATATACGTCCCTGGTAAGGCTGACCACCTGGCCACATAATGAAGGCCTAACAAGGTACGCTGCCCAATTATCTAATTAGTGTCATCGTCAAACTTTATTTCCCCCGATTTAGGAATATTTAGATACAAAAAATATATATAATCAAGAAATTTACAATGTTTTACGAAATGAGAACATTATAATTCTTTAACACATTAACACAAACATTGTCCGGCATGGTCTTCCGGATGTAAGGTGACCGCCCGCCTAATTTTATGTGTGACGTCAACTTCCCTGCAGCCAATCTGTGACAAGTAAGACACCCAACAAAATAATCATGTCGGGAACATGTGGCGATATTGAAATCCGAACTACAGAGATGCATACGGGTGGAGAACCACTGAGAGTGATAGAATCTGGCTTCCCCTCCCCACAGGGTGATACAATTCGTGACAAAATCCGCAACATCAGGGAACACCTTGACTGCTATAGGAAATTGCTGATGTATGAACCTCGAGGTCACTATGACATGTACGGCGCTCTGTTGGTAAAGGCAGATACTAATGACGCTGACATAGCTTCAATTTTCATGCACAACGAGGGATACAGCACAATGTGTGGACACGCGGTTATCGCCCTTGGACGGTATGCTGTGGATTCGGGACTAGTCAAGAACCCTTGTAGTCCGGAAACCCGAGTGATAATCCAGTGTCCATGTGGACTAGTGGAGACTTTCGTAGAGTATGAGGACGGCGAGACAGGAAATGTCCGATTTAACAGTGTTCCGGCTTTTGTCTTCGCTACAGGTATGGGGACCAAGACTAAGCCTACTACAAGGCGGTGCTACAAGTGTTGGATCGTACAACGTTACGCAATGTCTGTACGATGTACGCACGATAGGAAAATTAGACACTATAAGCTATCGCACATTTGTGCGCATGTTGTGTGGTTATAAATTTAGAAATGACTTATAAATAAGTGTGGGTTTATTTATGTTCTAAATATATATATATATATATAAATACCACAAAGTATATTTCATAATTAAGCCATTAATATATAGGTTGGTCACTTGTAGAAATATCAGATACACATTGAATAGTCAGATACACCCCTGTTCTCTTTACAAAGAACCACACATGACCAGCCTTAGTGTACGGACACACATTTAATAGACAACATATATGTGAAAACATGAAATGGACATCTCTTTATGTCAAAACAATTAATCATTTAAAATCTAATACCGTCAGGAAGAAAATTTGATTTTCAATACACCTGCATTACTCTAATTTTACTTTTATGCCATGTATATACCCGTATACAGGAAAACTTTTGCCCGCAGCACTACTACTGGCCACTTTCTAAGGTGTGAAACTCTATCCGATAAAACTCGTACTTATTATAAACATCTACCGGTAACTTTGTTTTTACAGTGATTATAGCCTATATCATTAATGTTAGTTCGGTTTTTACAGTGATTATAGCCTATATCATTAATGTTAGTTCGGTTTTTACAGTGATTATAGCCTATATCATTAATGTTAGTTCGGTTTTTACAGTGATTATAGCCTATATCATTAATGTTAGTTCGGTTTTTACAGTGATTATAGCCTATATCAGTAATGTTAGTTCGGTTTTTACAGTGATTATAGCCTATATCATTAATGTTAGTTCGGTTTTTACAGTGATTATAGCCTATATCATTAATGTTAGTTCGGTTTTTACAGTGATTATAGCCTATATCAGTAATGTTAGTTCGGTTTTTACAGTGATTATAGATTATAGATTATAGCCTATATCAGTAATGTTAGTTCGGTTTTTACAGTGATTATAGCCTATATCATTAATGTTAGTTCGGTTTTTACAGTGATTATAGCCTATATCAGTAATGTTAGTTCGGTTTACCTGTGCTTTTACCCGTGGTTCTCGCCTGTTTAAGAAACTCGGCCTAAAAAGGAAATAAAATAATTATAATAAAAAAAAAGTATAGGACTTATCTGACCTCGCTGCAGCCGACAAGATATACTGCGACGGAACCTTCTATACCTGTCCCAGCCTCTTCCTTCAGATATACACCATCCACATCGTGTTAGACGGATCCATGTACCCAATTGTATACGCCCTTCTACCCGGGAAAAGCCAACACATCTACACCAGATTCTTTACACTTCTACAGACGTTTATGACAGACAACAACATACCCATGATGCCATCAACTGTATTCGTCGACTTTGAAACGAGCTGTCCACAACGCCGGATGTATGGTTCCAAGCTCTAGAAGACATTGAACACGCCGACCTACCAACTGATGTTACACCATTTACAGACTACGTTGTTGACCAGTGGACAGACGGAGACAGACCAGTGTGGAACCATTTTGACACCGAGGGACCACGCACTACGCACCACTTGGAGGCCTGCCACGTGAAGCTTAAGAAGCTGGTACACCACGCCCATCCAAACATCTTCACCATCATACAGATTTTCAAGGACACCAGGCCACCAACGAGATCACAAGACTTCAGCGACGCGCGGGAAGAACCAAACGACCTCGGCCCAAGAAGTACAGAAACAATGACGCTCGCCTTGCCCTACTGAAACAGAGACTGGAGGACAACATCATCGACATCACGACTACGCCGATGCAGCATCCCAACTCATTTACTTGGATTGAACTGTGGGCATTGTTGTAAAGTGATTCTAGTGACTGTTGTGGATATATTCTACAGTGCATACCAGATTCTACTGTGTGTAGTGTTGAAGTTAACTTTTCGTGCTGTGAACTTATCTAAATAAGTTTTACTGTGAGGTTATGTGAAATGATGGACTTTAGAGCATATCAATATAGACGCTACTGTGTGAAGTGTTAAATTGAACTTTTAGTGCAGTAAATATGTTTCTTCTTTGAAGTTATATGAAATGATGGACTTTAGTGCAGATCAGTATACATTATGCAGATGCTGCTGTGTGTAGCGTTAAATTGAACTGTTAGTGCTGTGAACAAGTTTCCTCTGTGAAGTTATCATTAGTGTTAATTTTTCAATATTTGTAACTAATGTCCTTCATTTAACTTTGCAGTAAAAAATGAAAATTACAGGTAGATCTACAGGTAAACCAACAGGTAAAATATCTCGGGTAAATACAGTACCTATATGAAACAGACTATAATTTTGATGTTTCTACCTATTGTCCTAGACATGTATGCGTTCAGGGAACACCCCGATAAAACCTGTTAATGCAGGTCCAGTGTTATTTCGAGATTTTGAGAGATTTTATTTCGCTCAGTCACACTGACGTGTGAAACAAGAGGTCACAATTCGTTACATTTGTATGTTACATTGCAGGAGTACAACGGTGTAGCTAATTATAAGCTTACAGACGGGATACTACAGACTCAGCTGATAGGCTGTTCTCGCCTAATCAAGGGGAGATTATCCAAGCCGATACAACCAGATAATTATATCGCCTTCATGATCCCTTCAAGAGCAAGCAAAAACAACACAATCTTCTGAGCCTGTTTACATTACATATAGTCAGTAACCCTTTTAACTTTGTCATATTAGGGTGAATAGTATAATAATTAGGTATGAACTTTCTCCTGTTAGTTTTTTATTGCTGGATTTTCACACAAAAATAGTGATATTCATCACCTACGCCATTGTTACAAAGGGGACATAACCTGTCCTCTCCTCTAATACCTGTCCACCTACTAGTTTCTCCTGACAAGGGCTTGATGGAAGTTCTCAATTTACAAAGTAATTTCCTATTTTTAGGACTCATTTTCAACAAATAGGTTTCGCAATAGAAATTCATTTTGTATAAGGCATACACATTTCCCCTTGAAGCATTATTTATATCACTATACCATTTTTGAATGAATTGATCATATAAATTCTGATTCAGAATAACTTTCAACTCTGGTAAACCAGGTAGATACTCTCTTTGTAAGGTCCATAAATAACTTCAGCCTGATTCATTAAGTATGTACAAAAGAAATATATTTAAATTTAACATTATTTTCGTGTAATCTGAACATCAAGTTATAAAATGTACTGGACAGTTTTTCATTACATGTTATCAATTTATGCCAAAATAAAATTGTTCCGAGTTCTATATCACATAACACAGGAAAACGCCCTGTTTCTCCATACACCATAAAGGAGGCAGTGCTTTTCCTTACATTCAGCAAACGTTTACAGAACTGAAGATGTACTCTTTCTGTTATATTTACATTTTCAAAGTCCCCATATCTCACATGAGTAAAGCAATATTGGCAAAACTCGGGTATCAAACATCTTAAATTGTAGGTCTGCTGGTAACGATGTGTTTCTTAACTTACGCTAAACAGCATATAAAGCTTTTTGAGCTTGATCACATAATCGAAAACTGTCGAAAAAATGATGACTAAAAATCACCGATCAATTTTAATGTTCACGTGATCAGCTATTTAGTGATAACTTCACGAATGTTCCGTTTTATTTTTAGTCCGTAATATTAGCCAACGATTTTACCAAACCGCAAAATGTTCGATTGTATCGCACAGTTGTGCGCACGATACTGTATCGTGCGATATGCGTACGATGTATGCATGATGTGCGCACGAAGTTTTTGGTGCGTTGTGGGTTACCACAAGTGTATATACACTAGTCCCGAGATAAAGAAATATAAATATCCTTGAGTTTTTGCATCGAGAAGAATACAAATATGGAATTGGTTATAATGAGTAAAAATGCCACAAGGGAAAACAGCGCATTTTAATAGATATCACACAAGACGCGTCTTAAAAAATACTTTACACACTAGTATACAACAAAGAAGAATGATCTCTTATTGGCTGTCAGTGAATACAGCTTACACAACAGAACGCACATTTTATTGGTAAAATTTGGGGTAATCTGAATTTTTACCTACTTACCAACAGTGTATTAACAAATCTGTTCTATCAAGCAATAAACGTATGACCGTACGATTAGGGATACATGAATAATTATTATATTCGTAATTCCGATACTCTCTTGAAATGAATGTGATCCTTCACTTATACATGTTCTCATATAATGATGGAATATGTATCGTACTGTGTTTTGAACATTTCAGCAAAGTTTCAACTCCTCTTTACAAATTTATTTACAATAGTTTAACAATTATTTTTATGTATTGGATTTTGAAACCAGCCTTTATATAACATATATAAATGTTTGTCAGTATTATGGAATGTTATATATGTTTCCAGATGTTGGTGTGGAAGTCCCAGGGTATGGTCATCTGACGGTTGACATCGTGTACGGGGGAGCATTTTATGCCTTTGTGGCCGACTCTCAGTACAACTTTAAACTCGGGGAGGTTTCCATTGAAGAAATCAGAAAGGCAGGTGGGGCTACAACAGGTACGATTACTCTTAAATAAATTAATATAAAATGGACAGTATTTACTTTTGTAATGAAGTCTTTCTGAAATTATTGGAGTATTGAATATTTAAACTTGATGCCCCTGATTGCAACAAAATTCTGAAGTGGGACTTGAAAATTGTACTGTGTAAGGTATGTGTTAATTGCACGAACACTTTGCGAAACACATATACATCTAACAGTGCGGTAGTTGAGGTTTATGTCAATCTTTTTAAAATGTTGGTCAAATGTCACGGTCAAGGTCACATTGTAAAAAAAAATGGTACCACCGGAAATGTCTTGTCACAAGGAAGATACGTGCTAAATATGACAGCACTACCGGTTACAGACCAATACTTGTTGGCAAGGTTATTCACCATATTATAGTACAGTGCCTCCTCGTTGTGCCTTAGACATTGATGAGATCTCCAGAACATACTGGTCGCGTGTGTCAAGGGTTTTCTCGCCTGACGAAATTGTATAAACATCAGGCAGTCTTTAGACGCTGTTTAACCGCGCCAATAACACTGGGACTGGTTTATCGGTAGGGTTACACACTGAGTCATTGTGATGCTAGTGTATTCCTAGAAATAATTCTATGGTAATTTTGGATTGACGTGTGATATCTAAACCACATTATCTCTGTGATTGTGTAACATGTAGTCATGTAATCTAGGAATTTTCCAATGCCGCCTTTAGCCACGAGCCACGTCCCTTCACGGCCCAACAGAAAGGAGGCCTTAGTGGCCATGATCTCCAGGATTAAAACAAGCAATGAAACACGGAACTCATGAATTACTGTAGGACGTTTTATTTTTTCTACGCTTTTCTTCGCTCTCGATACGCTTTATCACATTCTGTAGCGATTTGTTACGAAGTCGGCACGATCCTGGTCAAGATATGGTTTTATCACGTTCTCTTACGATCACCACGATAGATTCGCACAATCTGCCACGTTCCGTAAGGCTCTCTGTAGATCTTCTAACGTTCATCGAATTTTAGCAAGATTGCAAGAATGCTTATATTAGTGTTAGGTGTCGTTTTATCATTTGATGTCCATATATACATGTACTGTATGTATTAACCGTCGTTAATCATCTTTAAATAAGATGCCTTGAAGAAGAAGGTTAAGATAACCCACCCGGAGAATGATGATCTCGCCTTCCTATATGGAACCATCGTGACGGACGGCCAAGACGGACAGGATGGAAACAGCGACACACCGTCGTCTAATGTTTGTGTTTTCGCTGAAAGACAGGTATTAACTCGGTTTAAAACAAAGTAGATTGAGCATATAGTGTATACAATAAGTGATACATCTGCTTAATACACAGTATACAAAAGGATGATGTATTCTATAGTTTTTGCTAATAGTGAACGGAAGGAACATTTCACTTTTCCGGAAATAATAGCATTGCTTTCATATGCCTTGATACTAGAAAGTCAGATATTCTTTACTTTATGTGTTGACAAGTCAGTGGCCGTATTCATGTCCTTAGTATATTACTTTACACAGATTGACAGATCCCCGTGCGGTTCCGGAGTGACGGCTAGAATCGCCAGGCAGTATCATAAAGGTTTTGTCAAACTGGGGCAGGCTAAACAATTTCAAGGACCATCCAAAGCCAAGTTTTCGGCAAAGGCCATACAGGAAGTGATGTATGGCGAATACAAGGCAGTAGTGGTGGAGGTTTCTGGGAAGGGACATTACTGTGGTTCTTCAAGGTTTTCTTTGGAGAAAGATGATGTCATCGGCCGCGGCTTCCTCTTGCAGTAATATCTGATCCACTTGGTCTTAATGGAAGCTATTGACGAAAGAGTGATATCAAACCTATCGACGCTTTACATTGTATATTGGGAATTGCCATGGCAATGACAAACTTGTATTTAGTTGTACCTATAAAATACTATTTATCTAACCTATCTGAACAGAGCGGATGGACCTTATGTCCAGGAAGAAAGGTCGACCTGTAATGACTACGTTTGCGTAGGTTTAGAGTAGGAAAAGATTGACTTTCAATACCGACAATATTTCACTATTAAAATACCATATCATGTTTGAAAAAAACAGTTGACGGTAGCCAGGATAATAGAGAGATGTAGCTCATTAACAAAGTACAGAAATCTTCATTAGCCAAGTACAGAAATCTTCATTAGCCAAGTACAGAAATCCTCATTAACAAAGTACAGAAATCTTCATTAACAAAGTACAGAAATCTTCATTAGCCAAGTACAGAGATCTTCATTAGCCAAGTACAGAAATCTTCATTAGCCAAGTACAGAAATCTTCATTAACAAAGTACAGAAATCTTCATTAGCCAAGTACAGAAATCCTCATTAACAAAGTACAGAAATCTTCATTAACAAAGTACAGAGATCTTCATTAGCCAAGTACAGAAATCTTCATTAGCCAAGTACAGAAACCTTCATTAACCAAAAACAGAAATCCTCATTAGCCAAGTACAGAAATCTTCATTAGCCAAGTACAGAAATCTTCATTAGCCAAGTACAGAAACCTTCATTAACCAAAAACAGAAATCCTCATTAGCCAAGTACAGAAATCTTCATTAGCCAAGTACAGAAATCTTCATTAACAAAGTACAGAAATCTTCATTAGCCAAGTACAGAAATCCTCATTAACAAAGTACAGAAATCTTCATTAACAAAGTACAGAAATCTTCATTAACAAAGTACAGAAATCTTCATTAGCCAAGTACAGAGATCTTCATTAGCCAAGTACAGAAATCTTCATTAGCCAAGTACAGAAATCTTCATTAACAAAGTACAGAGATCTTCATTAGCCAAATACAGAAACCTTCATTAACCACGTACAGAAACCATCATTAACAAATACAGAAACCTTCATTAACCACGTACAGAAACCATCATTAGCCAAATACAGAAACCTTCATTAACCACGTACAGAAACCATCATTAACAAATACAGAAACCTTCATTAACCACGTACAGAAACCATCATTAGGGCCCCGCATCGCGATGCGGGTGCCCTATAGTAATCACCTTGTCCGTCTGTCTGTCCGTTTCGCTTTCCGCACGATATCTTGAGAAGGAATGATGAGATTTCGATGAAACTTGCTTATGTTACTTGGTACATAAGTCCCTCGCTCAAGTTCGATGTTCGCCAAATTCCGCGCATATTTAATGAGGCTGCTGCAATCTGATTGGCTGAATGTTTTACATGTCTGTCGGTTTCGCTTTCCGCGCGATATCTTGAGAAGGAATGATGGGATTTCGATGAAACATGCTTATGATACTTGGTACATAAGTCCCTTGCTCAAGTTCGATGTTCGCCAAATTCCGCGCATATTTAATGAGGCTGCTGCAATCTGATTGGCTGAATGTTTTACATGTCTGTCGGTTTCGCTTTCCACGCGATATCTTGAGAAGGAATGATGGGATTTCGATGAAACTTGCTTATGATACTTGGTACATAAGTCCCTCACTCAAGTTCGATGTTTGCCGAATTCCGCGCATATTTAATGAGGCTGCTGCAATCTGATTGGCTGAATGTTTTACAGAGAATATCTTCTGAAGGAATGATTTGGGATTTCTTTAAAACTTGCTTTGTGATACTTGGTACATAAGCCCCTCATTCGAGTTCAATGTTCACCCTGTCCGTCTGTCTGTCCGTCCGTTTCCCTGTCCGTCGATCCATATATCTGTCCATCTGTCCATTTTCATTGGATTTTGATGAAAGTTGCTTTCAATACTTGACACCTGTCCATATATTTCTTAATATTAAGAAACTCAATCATAAGGGGTAGGTATTATGCGGGGCCCTTCCTCGACATTGGTCTAGTTAACAAAGTACAGAAACCTTCATTAACAAAGTACAGAAACCTTCATTAACAAAGTACAGAAATCTTCATTAACCACGTACAGAAACCTTCATTAACCAAGTACAGAAATCTTCATTAACCACGTAAAGAAACCTTCATTAACAAAGTACAGAAATCTCCATTAGCCAAGTACAGAAATCTTCATTAACAAAGTACAGAAATCTTCATTAGCCAAATACAGAAATCCTCATTAACAAAGTACAGAAATCTCCATTAGCCAAGTACAGAAATCTTCATTAACAAAGTACAGAAATCTCCATTAGCCAAGTACAGAAATCTTCATTAACAAAGTACAGAAATCTTCATTAACCACGTACAGAAACCTTCATTAACCAAGTACAGAAATCTTCATTAACCACGTAAAGAAACCTTCATTAACAAAGTACAGAAATCTTCATTAGCCAAGTACAGAAATCTTCATTAACAAAGTACAGAAATCTCCATTAGCCAAGTACAGAAATCTTCATTAACAAAGTACAGAAATCCTCATTAACAAAGTACAGAAATCTCCATTAGCCAAGTACAGAAATCTTCATTAACAAAGTACAGAAATCTCCATTAGCCAAGTACAGAAATCTTCATTAACAAAGTACAGAAATCTCCATTAGCCAAGTACAGAAATCTCCATTAGCCAAGTACAGAAATCTTCATTAGCCAAGTACAGAAATCTTCATTAACAAAGTACAGAAATCTCCATTAGCCAAGTACAGAAATAATCTTCATTAACAAAGTACAGAAATCCTCATTAACAAAGTACAGAAATCTCCATTAGCCAAGTACAGAAATCTTCATTAACAAAGTACAGAAATCTCCATTAGCCAAGTACAGAAATCTTCATTAACAAAGTACAGAAATCTCCATTAGCCAAGTACAGAAATCTCCATTAGCCAAGTACAGAAATCTTCATTAACAAAGTACAGAAATCTCCATTAGCCAAGTACAGAAATCTTCATTAACAAAGTACAGAAATCTTCATTAACAAAGTACAGAAATCTCCATTAGCCAAGTACAGAAATCTTCATTAACAAAGTACAGAAATCTTCATTAGCCAAGTACAGAAATCTCCATTAGCCAAGTACAGAAATCCTCATTAACATAGTACAGAAATCCTCATTAACAAAGTACAGAAATCTTCATTAACCACGTAAAGAAACCTTCATTAACAAAGTACAGAAATCTCCATTAGCCAAATACAGAAATCCTCATTAACAAAGTACAGAAATCCTCATTAACAAAGTACAGAAATCTCCATTAGCCAAGTACAGAAATCTTCATTAACAAAGTACAGAAATCTCCATTAGCCAAGTACAGAAATCTTCATTAACAAAGTACAGAAATCTCCATTAGCCAAGTACAGAAATCTTCATTAACAAAGTACAGAAATCTCCATTAGCCAAGTACAGAAATCTTCATTAACAAAGTACAGAAATCTTCATTAACAAAGTACAGAAATCTCCATTAGCCAAGTACAGAAATCTTCATTAACAAAGTACAGAAATCTTCATTAGCCAAGTACAGAAATCTCCATTAGCCAAGTACAGAAATCCTCATTAACATAGTACAGAAATCCTCATTAACAAAGTACAGAAATCTTCATTAACCACGTAAAGAAACCTTCATTAACAAAGTACAGAAATCTCCATTAGCCAAATACAGAAATCCTCATTAACAAAGTACAGAAATCCTCATTAACAAAGTACAGAAATCTCCATTAGCCAAGTACAGAAATCTTCATTAACAAAGTACAGAAATCTCCATTAGCCAAGTACAGAAATCTTCATTAACAAAGTACAGAAATCTCCATTAGCCAAGTACAGAAATCTCCATTAGCCAAGTACAGAAATCTTCATTAGCCAAGTACAGAAATCTTCATTAACAAAGTACAGAAATCTCCGTTAGCCAAGTACAGAAATAATCTTCATTAACAAAGTACAGAAATCCTCATTAACAAAGTACAGAAATCTCCATTAGCCAAGTACAGAAATCTTCATTAACAAAGTACAGAAATCTCCATTAGCCAAGTACAGAAATCTTCATTAACAAAGTACAGAAATCTCCATTAGCCAAGTACAGAAATCTCCATTAGCCAAGTACAGAAATCTTCATTAACAAAGTACAGAAATCTCCATTAGCCAAGTACAGAAATCTTCATTAACAAAGTACAGAAATCTTCATTAACAAAGTACAGAAATCTCCATTAGCCAAGTACAGAAATCTTCATTAACAAAGTACAGAAATCTTCATTAGCCAAGTACAGAAATCTCCATTAGCCAAGTACAGAAATCCTCATTAACATAGTACAGAAATCCTCATTAACAAAGTACAGAAATCTTCATTAACCACGTAAAGAAACCTTCATTAACAAAGTACAGAAATCTCCATTAGCCAAATACAGAAATCCTCATTAACAAAGTACAGAAATCTTCATTAACAAAGTACAGAAATCTCCATTAGCCAAGTACAGAAACCTTCATTAACCAAAAACAGAAATCCTCATTAGCCAAGTACAGAAATCTTCATTAGCCAAGTACAGAAATCTTCATTAACAAAGTACAGAAATCTTCATTAGCCAAATACAGAAATCCTCATTAACAAAGTACAGAAATCTTCATTAACAAAGTACAGAAATCTTCATTAACAAAGTACAGAAATCTTCATTAGCCAAGTACAGAGATCTTCATTAGCCAAGTACAGAAATCTTCATTAGCCAAGTACAGAAATCTTCATTAACAAAGTACAGAGATCTTCATTAGCCAAATACAGAAACCTTCATTAACCACGTACAGAAACCATCATTAACAAATACAGAAACCTTCATTAACCACGTACAGAAACCATCATTAGCCAAATACAGAAACCTTCATTAACCACGTACAGAAACCATCATTAACAAATACAGAAACCTTCATTAACCACG